TGAGGCTGACATCCTAGACAACTGAACATAGTAAATAAGCAAATTATAGGGTACGTCAGATGGTGATAACTGCTCTGGAGAAAAATAAAGCCGAGTGGGGTGGAGGTGGGGATGAAGCCTGGGAAAGGAAAGGATCAAGAAAGCTTCACTAAGAAGATGACAGTTGAGCAATTGTCTAAAGGAGGGAAGGGAGTGAGTCAGGAGCCACCAGAAGGCTCAACAGTGGGATGTGATCCGACTTAGGTAATCACAAGGCTACGCTGGTTGGTGGGAGACACAGACCCTGGGGCTTGGGGCTGGGAACACAGTGAAGATGTTACTGAATGACCAAGGTGAAGATGATGATGGAGATCAAATGCTAGGCAGAAAGTGGGTGAGAAGAGTACACGTTAGGCTGTGTTAGGTAGAGCCAGCAGGGTTTCCTGATGGATGGGTGGAGGACTGAGAAGGGAGAAGACACCAACACTGGGAGGCTAGAGAGCTGAACCAAATCACACCCATACGGCAGCCAGAAAGACCTTTTAAAAGCAAAATCTGACTTGTCCCTCACCTGCTCTAGCTCCTGAGTACCTCTGAATGGCCTCAGCTCCTCAGTCTAGCATTCAAGGCCCTGCATGGCCCGTCCCCTCTTCCCTTGCTGTCCCTCCACTCACCCACAGTCCTCAAAATACCCTGCTCACTCTCCCCTTTGAACTTTCCATACACAGCTATCCATGCACAGGACTCTTCCACCTTCCACCTTGCTAGCTAGCCCTTCTCTGGCCCTTCACCATAAAGCTCAAGCCCCTCAGGAGACCTCTGTGACCTCCCTGACAGGCTCAAACACCTCTTCTGGGTTCCCTCTGGCCTCCCACAATCCCCTATCCTAGCCCTGCCCTCTTTGAGCTGTTCCTGTCTAGAGGCAGGTGGGTCTCCCCTACAGGATGGTGCCCCTGAGGACAGGGCAGGGGGTGGGCTCTCTGGATCACAGATGTCTCCCTTGCATCACCAACACTGGCTGGGGCCAGGGCAGACAAGCAGTGAACAGTATTGATATTGTGAAATATACAGCACCTCTCCCCAGGCTATTTTCTGGAATCTACTGCATTTTCTACCAGAAAAGGCTTTATATCCACCTCCTCCCCTGAATACTCATTTCCCCTTAGAGCAGCACCTCTGTTCTCAAGCTGAGGAGCCCCTGCCCCTCACTGGGGGCCCTCCTCCCTTTCTACTGCTCATAAACCGCACACACACCCTTATAGGGCTTCCCTCCTCACTGGAGGCTCTTCCATTGTCTCTACTTGAAGGCCACCACCCCTCCCATCCTGACCCCACCTTCTCATCTCTCTTCCACCCCTGGCTTCTGTCCCGTCCCACATATTTGGGACCTACAGGAGGACAGGCCTAGGAAGGCCTTAACACAGCCTCTCAGGGCAGTGGTTAGGAAAGGGACACACAAGATATGGAGAGCAGGACAAGACATGGTGTTCCCAGGTTCATCTGCTTTGGGTACTATAGGTCCCCCTCTCCGTCCCTGGTCCCAGGGCCCAGGCCTGGTACTCACCTTGGAGACCTTTGGTAGCGAAGTGCAGGTCTATGGGGTGAGACCAATAAGCCATGTCCCCTACCTGAGGGGTGTCCACCTGTGTTTGGCCTTCCCGTACACCTGATAGAAGCTTCCATGCCGCCCCTGCAAGGAGAGGAGCTGAGATGTAGACGGAGGTGGGGGACAGCCTTCAGGAAGAGCATTTGGAGGTGAGTGGAGGAGTTACAGACTGGGGCTCTGGAGCAAAATGTCTGGATCCAAATCTGGACACTTTCTCTTTTTGCCTATGCAACCTTGGGCAAGTTACTTTACTCTGTCTCAGTCTCTCCATCTGCAAAATGAATAATGCATAATAATGCAGCCTCATAATTTTGAGAAGATTCATAATGAGTGTTGGAATAAAACGTTTCAACATTTTAGAGGGTTTTTTTTGTGTGTGTGTGTGTGTATGTGTGTGTGTGTGTGTGCTAGAGATTGAATCCTTGAGCATGCTAAACTGAGCTACACCCCAGGCCAATAGCAATATATAGTACAGGGACTGAACCCAAGGGGGCGCTTAACAACTGAGCCACATCCTCAGCCCTTTTTATTTTTGATTTTGAGACAGGATCTTGCTAAGTTGCTGAGGCTGACTTTGAATCTGTGATCCTCCTGCCTCAGCCTCCTGAGCTGCTGGGATTACAGACATGTGCCACCACACTCAGCTACAATACCATCTTATTACTATTTTCACCCAATATTTAGAGGACTGGTCCAAGAACTAATATGCAACTGGGCTGGGGTTATGGCTCAGTGGTAGAGTGCTCACCTAGCAAGTACAAGGCCCAGGGTTTGATTCTCAGCACCACATAAAAATAAGTAAACAAAATGGGGGTATTGTGTCCAACTACAACTAAAAAACTAAATGTTTTTGTTTTTTTTTTAAAAAAGATGCAGCTAACTGTACCCTCCAGGAGCACGTGATAAAAAAGACATATTAACAACAATCCTACTGAGAAGTGATAAGAATAGGGAACAAGAGCACTGAGCGCTTACTAAATGCCAGATACTAGGCTAAGGTCTTTAGACAATGCATTCATTTAATCTGCCCTTTAGAATTTTGGGGGGGGGGATATTGGGAATTGAACCCTGGGGCACTTAACCACTGAGCCACACCCCAGCCCTTTTTATTTTTTGAGACAACCTAGCAAAATTGCTTAGGGCCTCACTAAATTGCTGAGGTTGGTTTTGAACTTGTAATCCTCCTGCTGCAGCATCCTGGTCTGCTGGAATTACAGGAATGTGCTGTCCTGCTTGGCCTTTCAATCTCCAACCTATCCGCCCCAGTTTACAGGCTCCCTACCATGGTCCACAAGGCCCCTCATGCTGCAACCCATCCCCACCCCCCTGAACTCACGTCCCATCACCACCCTCCAGCCTCCCTGGTCCCATTTCTGTTCTGCCTCAAGGCCTTTGCAACAGCTGTCTCTTCTGCCTAGAAAGCTCTGCTCCTGGATGTCCCCATTCCTAGCTTTTTTTCATCCTTCAGCTCAAGTACCACTTCCACAGAGGGCCTCTTTCTGACTTTTCTATTAAAACCAGCTCCTATCATATTCATCCCATTTTTTTTTCCTCAAACTTACAATGATCTGTAGTCATTGTGACCATTTCTTTATCTGCTTATTTATTTTCTGACTCCCCAACTGAAGAAAGGACAATATCTGAAAGAAAGGACAACATCTGCCTGGGGTCAAAAAGCTCAGGAATGTTTGGGTCCAGACTGGAAATAAAGTCTGACTCCAAACTTTGCCTTTTATCCACTCAACTGCAGGATCTCAATTTCCCAGAAAATCTCAACTGCTACCACTTGGCAGTAAAATTAGGAAAGACCCAGGACTGAAGGGATGACAATGGCAATAGACACATCTATTTTGTGGACACAGTGCTTTACAAACAAGACCACATTAAAGCTTACATGAGCAGGCAAACACTTCCTAGTCCAGGTCCTATTTTAAGTGCGTTGATAATCATTTAGTCATGACAACAATCAGCAGAGGTTCAGTATTATTATTCATGTTGTACCAATAGGGGAATATAGGCAAAGAGAAATGCCCAAATAATAAGCAACATCTGGCTTCGAACACAGCAAGTCTGATCTCTGAGCTCTGCTGCCTCTTAGCTGCTATTAGCTTCATTACAGATGAGGGAACTGAGGTACAGGAGAGATCAAGTCCAAAGGCTCCCAAATAATAACTGGAGAGAGTTAGTATTTGAACCTAGATCTGGCAGTCTGTGAACCTAGCCATTACACTGTACCACTACATACAGGACCTCAGATAGGAGGCATGGAAAAGGGGGCCTCCAAGGTCCCTCCTGGGCCTGTGGGAATAGACCTGGAGTACTGCCAGAATGAGGTCCACAGAATCATGAATACCAGAGAGCGGCCCCTCTTCTGTAAATCTAGATGGAAGCTTTTACTTTGCAATAAACAACAGAGACTGTTCATCAAAGATGGGGGGTCTCTGGGCACCCCAAAGATTGTGTGTGGAATCCAAATGAGAGAGTTAGGGCTGTCTAATGTTTGGAGGAATGGAAATGTGTGTATGGAGGGTTCAAGCATATAGTCCCACATCCGTGGGGCTGTAAGCTCAGAGGATGGGAACCAGAGACCCCAGAAATAGGATGGAAAGGGATAAGACTGGAAACAGAGTGTGTTCTGAACCAGGAGTCCTGAGAGCCAACGGAAAGAGAGAAGCAGGCACTGACTCAGGGAGTCAAAGGAGTGTGAAGCTATAAGCTGGGGGTGGGGTGTTTTGATGGGGAGATGAACCAGGCCCAGGGAAAAATACCTGTGTGGATGCCCCACTTGCAGAAGAGGCTACTTTCAGAGAAACCGGTGGCCCCCACGATCTGCCCAATCACGTGCACCTCAGCCATGACCCTGGGAGGAGAAAAATATAATCATAGCTGTGAGGTAAGTGTGCTATTTCCATCTGACTAGGAAACTGAGATCCACCACGTATAGAGCAGTACTAGGATTCCAAACTGGTTTTGTCAACCCACTGACGCTGTGGTCTTAACCACAGATCCAAAGTCAACAACCAGCCTTCCCAGGAAAGCCTGAGGAAAATAGAGAGGGCACCCTGCGTTAGGAATCCGCCGCCTATCTTTGCCCCGCCTAAAATAAGCCTCCTTCAATGGATCAGTCCTGCGGAAAGCTCCGCCCCCATAGACAACGACTCCGCCCACTACCCCAAAGTCCCGCCCAGTTGCGATAGAACGGCCCCTAAGCTCCGTGGGGCGCATGCGTCTAAAATTCTGGGCCGTCGAAGCCCCACCCTTAAGGTCGGCGCGTGCGTAATTCCTACCTCAGCGCACTTAACGGTTAGGGGGCGAAGGCAGCAGTGAGGATTGTAGCGCATGGGCCTGACCAATCCTTTTCTCCGCGGGCGCCAACCAGGCCTGGATCGCGTTTCTCCCAGGACCTTCCTGACAGCGAGAGATCTGAGGCACAACACTTACGCGGCCGCGCGCTCGCCTGGGGTTCCCTGGTTGTTGCTAGGGCAACTGCAGGCCCCGCCCCTGACCTTGATCCCGCCCTGCGCGCTGCTGATTGGCGGTATCTGTTATTGGAGGTGGGACGGAGGTGTGATAGACATTTTCTCGCTCGCTCTCGTTCCATTTTGGGAAAATAGCGTTTCTCTTGCTCGCGCCCAGTGGAAACCTTTGGGGGCGTGGCTGGGCAGTTGCCGTCTGGGTAGTGTTTGAGGAAGTTTTAGTGCCTACCATTTGTGCGGGTGCCTTCTTTACTTCTTTATTGATGCTTTGTGCCCCCATTTCCCCCCAGAAACACCATCAAATTTCTTTCCTGTCCAGGACCACAAAAAGTCAGAGAATCAGCAGGATCAGTGGAGAATCCACCCCAGGACATTGGGTACATCATTCAGACTAGAAAAGTCGGGGATTGGGTTTTCCTTCGATCTTCACAGTGCCACCAGGCTTTTCTGAAAGACTGATCACTCCAACTTCCTTCTCCTACACTCTGCCAAGTTCTTTGTAGTGCTGAGTCTGAGTAAAGGGGGTGGAGTGAGGATGACAAATGAGGAACTAGGCCCCTTCAAAGAAAATACAGGGGTGTTTGGTTTAGTTGGGGATGCTGGGCATAGAATCCAGGACCTCATGCATGCCAGTCTCTATCACTGAACTACTGCTCTAGTCCTGAAAGTCTTACTTCCCATGATATTGCTGCCAGTAATTTGTCCTGTGACCCTGCTGGGCACTAGGTCTCAGTTACGTTGTCCAAATAGCAAGCACACATCATGGTACTCAGCCTGAATTCCTTAGCAGTGTCTTTCCTATCTTCTAAATTAGTTGAACCTTGCTCCTTTATTCTTTCAAGCCAGACCAGAATGGTGAGAACTTATTTTCTCCTTTTCAGAAACACACACACCCACCCACAGAAGAACTACAAAAGTTAGGGTCACTGACTCCAAATTACAAGGAAGGGGCAACATTTCAATAGGAAAATCCTTTCTTAAATACTGTAATTCAATAGAATGTTTCACTAACAGATAAATTTAAAAGCTCCCTTTTAGTTAGTATCCTATTTGCCAGCCCAGGCTTTTCTTTCTTTCTTCTTCTTCTTCTTTTTTTTTTTTTTTTCTCTTGGTACTGGAGTTTGAACCCAGGGGTGCTTGACCATTTAGCAATATCTCCAACCCTTTTTATGTATTTTATTTAGAGACAGGCTGTCACTGTATTGCTTAGGGCCTTTCTAAATTGCTGTGGCTGGCTTTGAATTCGTGATTCTCCTGCCTCAGCTTCCTGAGCTGCTGGGATTGCAAGTGTGCACCACCACAACAGGCTAAACTAGGCATCTTTGTATGTTAAATCCTTCAATCCTCACAGACGTTCCAAGGGATGGGTAATATTTATCAGTTTTTTTATTTAAGATCAAGAAATTAAGAAGAAAAAAAGAGAGGCTGGGGTTGTGGCTCAGTGGTGAAGTGCTTGCCTAGCATGTGTTAGGCACTGGATTTAATTCCAAGCACTGCATATAAATAAATGAATAAAATGAAGGTCCATCAACATCTAAAAAAATCTTTAAAAAAAAAGAAATTAAGGCAAAATCATGGACCTGAAGCCAAATTGATCATAGATGGCCCTGACCCTTTCCCTAAACCTTACATTCTGACCCTGTGCCATCTTGCCTTTTGGATAAATGTCCCTCAGTATTATAGAAAT